CATATTAACATAGATATTTTTTAAAAACTAGAATGATTATACTTTATTAATATATGTCTTTTGATTACTATTACGTACTTTGTAAGTTGATTTATTGACATACAAAACTTTGTTGTACTTTGTGCATCCAGCAAATATTGAAGATATGGACAGCAATTAACTATCTTTTGCAGCCATATAAGTTTACACATTTTTTATTTGCCTGCCAAATTTCGTTGAAAAAAAATGGGGCGCAGGCAGTCTATTTTGAGGCGCACTTTTGGTACCTATTTTCCTTAATCTGAAATCATTTGCGGACAAAGGGGGGAGGGGCAGTGCAACACAATTAAAATTCTTTTAAGTTTAACAAAATAAAACTTTGTAAACTTTTTATTAATGTTATATATTACTTTTTTTTAGATAAAATGAGTGAAAATATTAATTAAAAATTAATCTCTTCACTCATCTTATCTACAAAAAATACTATTTGCATAAAAGATAACTAATAAACAAATTGAAAATGAAAATAAAAATATTTTATAATCATACAATGAAATTGTATGTGTATCGTAGTAAATGGTAGTATTTATGTGAAAAGCTATTTACAGGTACTATCTACACTGAAAGCTATTTACAGGTACTATCTACACTAATTATAGACATTGTAATGTTTTTTTTTTTTTTAAATAAACATTTATTTGAAAAATATTTTTGTTTTATGTTTGCTTCAATAGCTTTTTACAACAAAATTTTTTTAATTTACCCGTTTAGTAGTTTTTATAATACTTTTAATTGTTGTTGGTTTCAAAATACTAATACTTACGCAAGAAAAGTGTAATTTTAATACAATTAATTTTTGCTTAATTTTCAAATAGTCTATTGGGCTACATGTTTACTTTTTGGTCATAACTATGTTGTATGTATATTGATATAACTTTTGGTTTAGTTACATATATTAATACCATAGTTACATATATTAATTTATTATATTTATTGATATTGTCAAAAATAAATATACAATTATTTTTTCTTTAGATTTTTTAAATATTAAACTAATATATCTCATGGTTATTACTTAATATGGAAATATTTTGACTTGCAAAATTCGTACCAGTTATTCTGAGTGGCAAACAGGTACTGTTATTGTAAGTGTCAAAGTGAGTGGTAAGGATCAGTTAACTTTTTTCAGTGATATACATATTTAAGACAAATAAACTTGGAACCTTTTATTTAAATATTCTTTTATTGATTTGTTTTACATTCCTAAATTTATTAAGAAACTCATCAGTTGTAACTATTTAATGCTTTAATGGTATAATGGGTTGACACATATTTAAAGGAGAATTCAAAAAACATTTAATTAGTAATTTTACATTGCCATCTAACACAAATATTGGGTGCATGAATGGACACGTTCTGTTTCTTTATACTAGCAATGGTGAGTTGTTTAGCAAAACAGTTGCAAAAGTCAATGAGCATTTTAACTTTAATATTTGCTCCAGTCATATCAAAAAAGTAGTGTACATAGCCAAAAACTGGTCTAAAAATTTTTTAAGAAAATATGAAAGTTGTGTTGCATTTTGTAATGAGCCCTTTATAAACCGTGAACCACTGATTACAGCCTATCTTAAGTAACACTAATTACACAATATCACATTCTTCTGTTTTATCATTGTCAGAACACAGCAGTGTCACATCTCTGATACGTAATGAACCTTCATGTTCTGCTGGACATGAAGCAAATTTAACTACCAGGCAGACTTCAATAGAAAAATTGAGCCCTAGGAAGAAAAAATTAACTAACCGGTTGTCTCATTTGTCTTCTAGATTAGCAATTTCTTCAATAGAAAATCGTAAGAAGATAGCTTCAATGAAAGCAAAATTATCCAGCCTGCCATATAAATTAAAAGTTCTAAGGCAAAGTGTTAAAAGAAAAGAAGATATTATAAAAGCCTTAAGAGCTCAGGTTAGAGACTTTAAACATAAAAACCAAACATATTATTACAGCAGGCAAATTCGCAATCTTATTGCATCAAAAAAAGCAATAAAAATTAAAGAGAGAGAAAAGTTTAGAAAGTTAGCTCTCAAACATAATGCTGCGATTAGAAAAAATAATACGGATATTACTAGCTTAGAAGATAGTTTGACCCAAATGGACGAGGACAAGATAAGTATTACAAATACAACTGATTGTAAAAGCTATCCATTAAAAATGAGAATGATAATATACTGCATGTTATTGTGTAATGTCCCAAAAAGTAACATTCCATTTCTAGTAAGCAAAATTGGGCAATATTTCAGTGTTATTTTTTCTCACATTCCTTGTCGTAGCACTATTGAGCAAATGGCTCGTGAGCTTGGCAGTATTGCTGATCTGCAGGCAGCTGAATGGATCATTAGTAATACTCATCTTACTCTTGGGTTTGACGCAACTACACAAGAAGGTGTTCATATCAACAGTATTCACTTAACTTCAAATGATAAATGCCAGGTAATTGCTGTTGATCAATTACCAGGTGGG